CCCAAAACCCCAAAACCCCACAAATTTTATTAATTCATACTCTAGATAATTAGGAAAGTTCCTTTTTTAAATATAAAATCATTATAAATACTTTACTCTAAATAATGTATAAAACTTATTATCAAAATAAATCATCAAAATCGTCAGAGGGCAAGTTGTTTTTTATTTGCTGTACTATAATTGCTAATTATTGTTTTGGATGATTGGCTAGTCTTAAGTGATCGTTAGTTTTTTATATTAAGTAATTTATCTAGTTTCTCCCACTCCTATCTATGTTTTTATTTAATCTTGACTAAATTATTCACCTCTTTGTCATATATATTTTGTACCTTGAAGAATTCATTTGTTTTAAAATACTAGCGAACCTAATCTTACGAGGTATGACTTAAGTTTTATCTAGACCTACTATAAAGCATGCTATGGTTTGCATAGCTTCCACTAAAGTAGTTATCTAGCATACTGCTTTTCTCTAGAGACTTGTGGAGATCTATATGGCTTAATTAATGCTGACTACCTTGTAATCTCTTTGAGAAAAACATTCTATGATTACTTTTATTCTAGATATTGTCAATTAAAGTTTGGTTTGATGGTCTTACTGGGGTATTTTAAGTGGTTATTTTGAAATTTTACAATGGAGAGGTTCCTGCCAGGATTGTTGTAGAAATAGCTGAATTACTAAAGTCTCTGAATTCATTAGAAGATACATTTTATGAAAATATTTGATTTCTTTTGCAAAGTGGATTGTGCTTTTTGTTTTGAAGGAAGATTGACCCTTTAAGTTATTATAAAGTCTTTTGATTTTAGCTTGTAGCTGGAGGAAGCTTCAGCTAAATTTTATTTTGAATAGTCGTCGGAGATTATTAAAAACTTTCAAAGTACAATCTTTATTACTGCCCGCGTTCTTTTATCTTTTAAAGGAAATTGGAATCTCGTTTACTTTTATCATTAATTGGAGATTTTTTATTAGGAGAGACAAACTTATGAATTTTAAATGTTAACTTGCTTTAGGAAGTATTTTACTATTTATCCATTATCTAGCTACTTTGCAAGTTATCCAACTTTTCATTTTAAGAATGCTATTTATCAGTCAAAAGCAATTTTTCTGATTTGGATTACTTTAGAAATGATTTGAAATATTTTGATGCATTCTGCTGCTCATCAAGAAGAGTGTTTGCGTTTTTTCCCATTTTTTTTAAATCCATCATCTTTATGTTAAAGTTGCTTTGAATCTGCCTGTATCCATGCTCGTCATCATCTTTAGCACCTAATCTCCACCATCTCAGCTTATTAATCACCTCTTTTTCTATTTCATACTAGGTGTGGTCCTTAGTTTCGAATTTCTCTCTCTTTTTCTTCGAATTTTACCGGTTATACTATGCTCCATTTTTCTGTCCTGTTAGTATCTCAGAATCATTGAATGAGACCTTGTGAACTCTAATAGCTCTTTTTTACATTTCCTATTATATTTCCTCTTTTTTATACTAGCCTTAAACAATTTCAAGTATTGCTGAGTGTTTAGGAGCACCGCCACTTAATACATTCTTTGACAGTTCATTCCATGAACTCACATTATCTCTGTACTAAATAGTCTCAAACCCGAAGTGCGGCATATAAGCTATTTTCATATCAGAAATGCCCTTCGTAAAATCATTCATGTCTGCTCTTTAATAGCTTGCAATGGACTTTCTCTGTGGACTGATTCCATTCTCATTTCTACTGTCTAATTAAGATTCGTAACTCATGATTCGGCCTTTTCTGGGAAACTCGTGTTACGTATTGAAGTTGAAAGGGTTCTACTGGATTTACACTGCTGCGCTGTTGTCACGAGTACTTTGCTCTTCCTTGATTAAATTTTGAAAATTAAGAGATTTGCTACTTTCAGTTCTCATTAAAGAGAAGTTCTAATATGAAAAATTAATCTTATAAAACTATTTTTACTATTTATTTAGATAATTCGATAAATTTTCTAAATCATAATTAAATGGGGTTTTGGGGTTTTGGGGTTTTGGGGTTTTGGGGTTCATCTTAAA